CAAAAAAAAACAATTTTCCAGAGGTCTTTGCACTTGGGGCTTCTGCAAAAAGAGTTTTGAAATATTGTTTTTTTTTTGTTTTTTTGTTTTTTTTTTATTTTTTTGTTTTTTTTTGGTTTTTTGGAAACCCCAGGTTTTTTGGAACCACCAAATTCCCAAACCTCTGGAAAATTGTATTTTTTGGTATTTCTGAATACTCAAAACATCTGGTCCTATCTGAAATGTCTCTATCTGTTGCAAAAGTTACAGAAAAACATCTGCAAATCATTGTCTCTATCTGGTGCAAAATTTCCAGAAAAAAACATCTACAAATCAATGGAAAACCGCACTCTCAGGGACACCCGTTCTGCAAATATATATATATATATTGCGTTGATTTCACACCTGATGTTTCAATCTGCCATTAAATGGTAGAACTTCTCCATCTTCTGAATAGTTCGAGCAAGGTTTGACCCAAGCCTTCCGGACGGACTCCAACATCTCCTCGCGGTAGAGGCGCCTCAGTCAATTGTTGGCATACTGGAAAGCATGTTTTACGCACTCAAGTGCTCATGCGTGGGCTTGCTTTTGTTGGGTGGGGTCACAGTCATACACGTATATTGGATGTTCTAAGCAAGCTCTGGCAAAACCGGGAGGCGGAAGTCTCGAAAGGCACTGCAGTAGGAAGAGATGGTCGGATGTGTGGCGTCGTTCAATGTGATGAGGTGTGATGAGGTCATGTCTTGTGAGGTGGTGATGTGGTGATATGATTCATGAAAATAAGTGGTCTATAGTCTATAGTCTACATAGTGGCTTTCTTCATTTCTAGAGATCATATTGCTTGTGTTGTGTGTCTTAGATGCAGTGACTGTGGTGCTGTGAAGTGACGCGTTACGATGGTGATCAAAATAAGAAAGCACCATGATGCGGTGAAGCGTTTTGAGGCGTGGTAAACGTGGAACGTGCTGTTTTGAACTGGTGCGTGCTGATTTCTGGTGCTGCAAAGTTGTGCGTGGTGATTTGTGATGAGGTTAGATGTTGTTAAGTGTGTTCTGGCGAGTCGCGGTGTGGCGAATGCAGACTCTCTTCTCCTCTCTGATGCTCTTTCTTCTTCTTCTTCTTCTGCATTTCTCTTGTTAAACTTGTGCTCACCATCGGAGCCCTTCGTAGAGTGCAAGGGGTGCACGCTTGTCGTGTGGTACGTTCGCCCGGGTTTAGTACACCAGCTAACTTCACACAGCTTTTCACATCTCCATTAATTTCATGTTGATTCCTGTGAGTCTCAGAGTCTCCCTGCTTGAATGTTCTGTCAGGGTCCAACACAAACACGGGCACAAACCAGAAAGCAGGCCTTTCTTCGTCTGCAAAGGCGCATAAAGCGAATGAACTCCGCCATATCCAACGCACCGCTGCCATTGAAGTCGACCCTCGAATGCAATCGACGCACCTGGCTCCACAAGCTCTGCTCCACTGGGCTGATAGAATATTCAGATACCCAAGCACCAGGTCTGGCATCTGATAAGACCATTCAGGGCACCAAAAACGCTGTATTCCTAGCCAGCTACTTCTTGGGATGCCCCCTATACACTCCGCGTACCCCCTCCCCCCTTACTTTTGTGACGAGAATCGCACACATACTTTCAACCTGCAGGCTCTATGAAACTCTTCTCGCCAAATGATTTCTCCAAAGGAAGGCTGCACCAAACTCCCTTGCCCTTCCAGATCAGGCTTGTGCGGTGAAATTCTAGCTTCCCTCATTCTTGACTATATTTGAGTATACAGACTCGTTACATTCAGAAACGCGGCCCCACATGCTGAGAGATTGAACCCCTCCCCTAAAAACCTTTTGAGGATGACCAACCTTTCACCGTAACCTTTCTCACCTTTGAAGCGGGGCCTCGTCCATCGAAGCGGCGTGGCCCTGGAAGCGGAGCATGTCCCGGAGCTCGCACACGTCGATGTCGCCGCTGCCGTCCTCGTCGAACTTTTTGAAGGTGTCCTGGAGCCCGGGATCGAACAGGTCGAGCCCCCAAAAGGGTCTGTTTGGGAGGAGGCCGCTAAAGGTCGCTAGTAGTCAAAGGTAGGTAGCTAGTAGTAGCTAGCTAGCTAGTAGCTAGAAGTAAGCTACTACACATGGACGCAGGATACAGTATCTTGAAGAAGCGCTCGCACTATTCATTTGGTTCGTAGATTTTTTGGGTAAACTCAACTATAGCGATGGCCTCCAACCTAATAGTGATCCAATGACCCAATTGGAAGGATTCCGTGTAAGTGGCTTGGGGATGGTCATTCCGAATTTACGTGGAGCGTGGAGCTGTTGCGGAAGATTTACATAGTGGCACGGAAGTAGTGGACAACAAAGCAGCAATTGGCTAATAGAATGATAAGTGATAATTATTCACGGTTGATCTCAGTCAGTGTTGCAGCCTGCCCATCTCTAATAACATGCACGTTGCACCCTTGTGACCAACCGACAAATGCAAAACACTTCCGACTACCCACAGGCACCCCTAACAAAGTTGTCAAGGATTCATTATGATTCATTCATACTTTGGCACATGCACATCTGAGGAAATCATGCTCTCAGCATTTTGAGGAGCAAGAAGCTACTAGGAGCAAAGGGCATCGCTACTAGGAGCGATCGGACGCTACTAGGGCTCCTGGCCTTACTACTAGGAGCAAGGTTCGCTACCAGGAGCAAAGGCATCATTCTCAGCGTTCGCAGGGCATTGCTCGGGCATTGGTTGCGGAGCCGCGCCTTGATTTCTTGAATCTCTGCCGAGGAGAAGCCGTCCGACTGTTGCAGCATCATCCTCGGAGTCTTTCGCCGCCCCGTTGAAGAAGGGGGCCATGGACCACTGGTACATCTGGTGGTAGGAAACTTGTTGGTACATCTTTGGATCTCCGACGTGTCATATATATCATATCATGTATAAAATCACATGCAGGCCACTAATAAGCATGTAATTTATAATGGAAGAAAGTGCGTGCTTAAGGAGGGTTGTCGCAAAAGAAGCCTAGCAACCGTGCTATCAACGATCCAATCCTGGCACAGAACGATAGATAGCAATTTCAATATGCATTGTAGAAGGCAGGAGGAATAGATGGACGTTAGTTTTACTGTTTCACCGGAGCGCTTGGCGTCTTCGCAGGTTGGACAGCACCCAAAGAGGGGGAACCTTGGGGGAACCTTGTGGAGCAAGTCATGACTTCATGAGGCGGTTTGGGGATGTTTGGGGTTCAAGGTATTCCAGGCCTAGCGCTAGTTATATACATTCCTTGGCTCAACACCTGATGGCAAGACTGATTGGTGTCCCTCGCAAGTGCTCCAGTTGCCTGTCGCCAATCCATGCTGAGCAACATGAAGTGAACGAAGGAGTCGTAGTCCATGCATTCAGAATCTAGCCTCGAGTGGCACCAAGTTTGACAGAGCTGGGACATGTCTGCACACGCAAGAAACGCAAATCCGAAGCATTTACAGTAACACCATTCAACTATGAAATAGAAAAAACATGAGGAAAAAAATAGAAACAAACAGAGCCGATGCAGTCGACGTCCAAATTGTCTTTGGGTCCACAGGATTCTGTGGGGCTGTGGGGACTTGCTGCTACGACACATGAATATTGTCTTCCCCATTTATGCGCGCCCCAAACCAGGTTTGGTACCACAAGTCTGGGTGGACACGGTGGACCACACCGTCAGAATCTACTGAACCTCCCTCAAACCCGCCCAGATGGACCTCCTCTATTGGATGTCCCTTCTCCATCTGTCTTTTTTTTTAGCCTGTGAAATCGCGCTGTGGGTCAATACAAAGGGCCAGCTACTGGCAGAGGGCTCCATTCTTTTGGGTGTCCGGCCTTCACCCATCGGAGAGCGTCCGACTACCTCACCGAGTGGCACTTCGGAGGAGGTCCGAGCACACATGTCATCGAGATCCTGAGGTTCAACATGCGAGTTAAACTCCTCACAGACCTGCCAACGACAACGGTGAAACATGAAGCAAAGAGTTGCTTTTTTTCAAGCTATCGCCCCGTGACGATGGCATGGTGGTTTTGGTGGTTTTGGGATGTTTGGGGATGTTTTACACGGCACGCTTCGCTGACTCACACGCTCGGCTGGGAAGCTCAGGAAAAGATCCGAGAAAAAAGAACAAGGATATGGCACAAAAACCAACCGCAACATGGCCAGTGATGATGCCACCCTCTGACGAGCCACAGTGCGTGCGAAGGCCGCCTGCTTGATTTCCCTGATGGTCGCTTTTGTCATGGTGTAGCCCAACCTGAGCGCCGAAAAGGGTGCCCAACTCGGTGCCCCAACACGTTTGAGCTGGTGTGAGCTGTTCAAAAACACGATATACCAGTACCCTGCACAAGAATATCGGCAAAATGACCTGTACACTGTAGTATGTCTAGGACATGAGGCTCTAGACATTGTCCAAGTGACCTTGGTCAGTTTTAATTATCGATTACTGTATTGGTTCTGGCAAATCTAGATCATTGGTTCAGAGTTGCCTGCCTATCAATGCGGGCATATTATGCCACTGGATGTTTCCCAAAGGCTGTTGAGCATTCAATTGAAGCTAGAAAGCAGGTGCAGAAAGGCGGCGGTCAAATCTCCAGTCGATTGGAGATCTTGAGAGCAAGTTGGAGTCCATGGAGGCATGGAATTTTCCAGGACTATGTGGATCTGCGGTGTATTTGTTGGCATTCGTTGGCCAACCCTCCATGACCGATGACAGCCATGACCTACCCTGATACATTGCTGCTCGAGAGGCGTCTTGATGACATTCTGCAGCTCGTCCATGTCGATGGAATCACTCCCATCCTCGTCAAACTTCCGAAAAGCTTCGCCTGCAGCCAGCAACGCCATCGATCCAGCTGATGCAGTACGGTATCACTAAGTTTGTTGCCCTGGAACTTCTTGGGCCGCTCCGGGCGAGTGCGAATTCTGGAGCATAAGATGTCATAAGTAGCTTCTTGTTACTACTAGTAAGGCACTTGTTACTACTAGCGATGCACTTGTTCCTAGTAGCTTCTTGTTACTACTAGTAAGGCACTTGTTACTACTAGCGATGCACTTGTTCCTAGTAGCTTCTTGTTGCTACTAGTAAGGCACTTGTTACTACTAGCGATGCACTTGTTCCTAGTAGCTTCTTGTTACTACTAGTAAGGCACTTGTTACTACTAGCGATGC